GGACCTCAGTGCGGCAGATTATGATGAAGCTGAGTTGCTGGTCCTGAAGAGGGCCCAGAGAGACTCCTTTCTCGAGGATCTGGAGTGTYTACAGGAGGGGAAGCCTGTCCCATCTGACAGTAGACTCCTGACCCTGGCCCCAGAGCTTGACGCTCAAGGCCTGATCCGAGTTGGGGGCAGACTGCGGCGTGCCCTGAATTTAGCAGAAGATGTGAAACACCCTATCGTCCTAGGAACCAAGCATAGAGTCACAGAGTTGATCATCAAATGGTACGACCAATCAGTGTGCCATGCAGGAGCAGAGAGGGTCTTCGCGGAGATCCGCAGACGGTTCTGGATCCTCCAAGGAAGAGAAGCTGTGCGTAGGTTTCAGCGAACCTGCACTGATTGTCAGAGGTGGAGAGCTCAGCCTGCCATACCAAAGATGGCCGACCTGCCACCCTGTCGTCTGAAGATAGGAGAGAAGGCGTTCCATGCCACCGGAGTGGACTGTTTCGGCCCGTTCTTGGTCAAGAGAGGAAGAGGGACAGAGAAGCGGTGGGGAATCGTCTACAAGTGTATGACGACTAGGGCGGTACATATTGAACTGCTGCAATCTATGAGTGCYGACTCCTTCTTGATGTCCTTCCGGAGGTTCCAGGCTCGGAGAGGGACACCTGCAACTCTACTATCGGATCATGGGACTAATTTCAAGGGAGGAGAGTTCGAGCTGCGGCAGAGCTTTGAAGCAATGACAGAGGAAGTGAAGACTCGCCTAGCTCCTGCTCAAGTTCACTTTCAGTTCAATCCCCCGAATGCCCCTCACTTCGGGGGGACWTGGGAAAGGGAGGTGAGGTCCATCAAAACAGCCCTGTACACCGTCCTGGGGGCCCAGATCGTCGGTGATGAAGTCCTGGCTACTGTGCTTACAGAAATAGAGGGAGTACTGAACTCTAAGCCGCTTGGATACGTGTCCACCGACATTGCGGATGTCGACCCCGTGACTCCGAACTATCTCCTCATGGGGCGGCTGGACCCTGCCCTCCCCCAAGGCGTGTACAACCAAGATGAGATGAGCGGGAGAAGGATGTGGAGACACAGCCAGGTTCTGGCGGATCAATTCTGGTCCCACTTCCTTCTGTACTACTTGCCCTCTCTTCAGGCCAGACAGAAGTGGGTGAAAGACAAGACTAATCTGACAGAGGGTACAGTAGTGATGGTTGTGGATCAGTCTTTGCCCAGAGCTTTGTGGCCAGTCGGTAGAGTGAGTAAAGTCATTGCGGGATCAGATGGAAGGGTTAGAGCAGCAGATGTTCTGGTCCGGGGGCGGACCTACACCAGACCGGTGGCAAAACTGATAGAGCTCCCCGCCTTCCCTGGCCCCCAYGCAGAGGATCCTGTTTCTGCAACTTCACCCTCCTAAGTAGTCAACCTACATCCTAGAATCCGGGTGTCCAGCGGACTGCCTATGACTGAACCTATCCGACTTGACTTTGACTCTGAGCTTCTCAGTTTAGGATAGCTAATTGAGCATAGCAAATTAGGGGGCGGCTGTATTGAAGCCTCAGAGTTGAATATATATATATATTTAGTTTATTGGGCTCAGTTTGAGTAATATATTCTTTCCCCTTCCCGCTGCCCAGTTAAGTTTCCTATTCTACCTGCCTCAGTTTATTATTTTCTATTCATTATTAATGATGTTCTGTATAGTTTGGTTCAAGCAAGACATTTTGTACGTGTGTTATTCTGTTGGTGCTGCTGCGTGTGAGATCGCTGCGCGGACGAGCCTTTAAAGAGGATGTGGCGGATGGACTCGCGGCGCTATAGCTGTGATGGGGACCGGCGGAGCGATCCACCGGTAGACGGGTGAAGAAACCAGAGAAGAAGAAGCGATAACTTCAGAGACTCGGTGAGAAAGTTCGTGATCGGGACGAGGAGCATAGAGCTGGCTTCTGATCTGCCGTGAGCCCGTGCTCGAAGCGAGGATAACGGAACGCAGCGGGACCACGGAGAAGAAAAGGAGTGTCGGCTCCGCGAAGAGGGATTTTTAGAGACTGTCTCCACCTGCCTTGTGAGCAGACCGCGTCAGTTGGGAGTTGCTTGCTAGCGCGGCTAGTTAGCCTCGTCTACAGTTACCCTCCCCCCATCCTTCAAGGTTTGCCTGCCTCCTCTCCACCAACTGATCCCCTGGCATCGTCACCCCCTCGTCTCCATCTC